GAGATGTGTAATTTTTTACTGAAATGCGAACATTCTGTTCTCGCAAAAGTTTATAGAAATACAAATACAGCATACGTTAGTAAGAATGGTCTGATTCCGAAACGCGGATTTGATATGGGCATACTACTGGTGTTTGAAGCAAATCTAACACCACCAAAGACAGAATGATCAGGATAGATAAGGCTAGTTTCTCTGGCCGCAGAAATTATCTGTTTTTCCAGTCTGAACGTCACACTCTGTGGAAATTGGTTGTGTATTTGATTGCGAACCACGGAAGATAAAGAAACGCGAGTTTCTCGTTCCGTTTCAACGCCAAGGCATATTCAATAAAATCACATCAGTATCTTTCTTGTAGCAGTGTGCTACCTATCCAGTCTTGACTGAGGTTCGATAATAGTCCAAAATTTTAACATCTATTTCAAGCACGTGATCACACTAGTATAATTTCTAACAGGCCCTATTTATTTTCCATTCTTTAGGCGCCTGACTCGTGCTAAGAAAAATCGCCGTATCCGATTGAGAAAAGTCAGACCCAACCGGAGGAACGTACCATTAGGCAGTGTGACTTGTTTGACTTGGAATTGTTGGCAAATGCCCAGCTGAGTAGCTGGCCGTTGTGAGTTCCCCTTGGCGAGACAATCGGCGCTCACCAGACGATCCACAGATTCCAATATTTCCGCCCCTGTTATACGTGCAATCCGTTTAAGTACAGACTAAATGTGAAGAGAGAGAATATGAAATGACGATCAGAACAACCACATAAATGAGTGTATCCCACCAACAAAACAAGAAAACGGCGAGGTGTTCAAATGATTGAGTAGAGCAAACGAGAGCCTGCGCTGAATGGATGGTGTTCATAAACGGCCATGTGAAACAGAGGTTTTCAGGAAGTGGCTAACAAGCACTGTCTCTCACCGCTGTTCAGTGTTTCTATTTCATTTAACACCCCTAGGTTTTTTCAAGTTTAAGTGCGATCAGTGAGGTGTATCCGGGTGACTAGCAGTTCGGTCTCTGGAAATCCCAGTTGAATGGGTGAAACGGGACAAAAGGTCATGTCCTTTTGGTGGCGGGCCACATTTTCCAAGCAAAGCTACTTTTGCCAGATTTTACTTATAGCACTTTAGAGGGAGAATGCTTGGCCAACGAAAACCCACCACGTCCTCTGAGGCTTCCACTATTAACCTGTGCTCGACTATTCAGTGGTGACCTATTGTGATGTGAAACACGTCGCACCGCTCACCCTGTATCTCTCCCAACTAATCAGTCTTGCTTTTGAATGAATGAATGTCTATCCTCGGTTATCATGTCGCTTCTTCATATGACCTTTACAGATTAGAAGTTGAATCTATGAAAACAATTTTTCGCCTTCGAACGTGTATTCCTATGTCATAATGGGCAAATTCTGGAGTTTTCCCTTTACTTGGCCAGGGGAGTTTTGAGAGCCTGAATCAATTTTCGTTGCGCACGCAATTCATGTTTTTATTAGCCGAATGCTAGTTGCCTCTTGGGTCACCAAAGTGCGAAACCGAATTGCTCTCGAGGAGTGTGGTGAAACTCGTTAAGTGGTTGCAAATGCAGATGGCATGTCAGTCAAGTGTTCTGTCTCTACCAAATGAGCAACAATTGAGCCTGAAAGAGCTGCAATCCTCCCATATGTGAGCCAGCGAGGATTATGGTCTTGTCGATATACCCGCATAAGTCGCACCACAAATAAACTTTATTTGGTGGGCGATCATGGACGAAGTCAACATAGGCAGATCTCGTTTGTTGTGGTATCCGATGTTTGGTGACTTAGAGAACACAACTTACCTTATCGGTTTTAAAGTTGGGTTTCTCTACAATGGCTAGAACTGTACTGATTATGTCAACAACATCTTTGCTTGGAAACTTCCATAAAGAGAACCTTCTCCGCTTGTCGTGTTGCTGTTTAGTCCAGCTGCATTTGATAAGCTTCTATACTATGTGTTCTGAGTCAGTTGACATGTTCCGTGATTTTCAAGCTGGTTCAGTTCCACGAAGTTGTCATATTTACTGGATTTTTATCAAACCATTTCTTGCTAAACGATACACTCGCGTAATCATCATCTCTAATCGTTCATGAAAGTCGTCGTTGTTGTGAGGTGCTACTCACATTTGTGAGTAGTATGCAAAACAGTGCTGTAGGGTGTTTCCTTCCACCATCAAAAATTGAACAAGCCACTAAGGGCGAATTACTGTCCCTCAAAAAATAACTACTGATTGCATCATCATCATCATCGTCGTCGTCGTACAGCGAGATACAGTGAAGCGAGCTTCACTGATCGCTGCCAAGCTCACAATGTACACAAATCAAGTGATAAAGCATAAGACGGAAAGGGATTGGACTGCTCTAGTCATTACCCGATGTGCTGCCCGAAATAGTGATGACATGTTTCAAATGATGCATCTGCTATATGTATGCTAAATTATTGACATCCCAACTGTAATCTGCAATCAACTGTCCTCGACCGCACTGCGTTGTGGAATGATGATAGTCTGATAAATTTGTACCAAGATTGCAATAAAACTAGCTTTTTCACTCATACTGGGTATGTAACCGGTCTCACTATCATGCTTTTTCAATTAAACCACTCTGTGTGGATAAAAATTAGGCATCCGAATCCAAAGCCCGGCAAGACATTGTGCTGCGACGGTGGCATGGTCCGGACCCGACATGCCCATTTAGAAGCACGTGCTAACACCGAACCCCGGCTGCTTAGGTTCGTGGAGTCGGTTTGCGATTGAAAAATGGAAACCTGACCTGTGTGTGATGATTCGACCCTATCGTATTCGTGTTTAACTTGTTTTACTGTCAAACGATATAAACTGTGGTTTTCTGCAGTATTGCACAAGTTGGATGCAGCGAAATCTGCCTTGTGCAACCTAGCTTTGTTATGTTCTCTTTTCATACTAATTAGTTTATCGACTCCAGACGTAAGACATATCGTTTACAGTACCTCTCATGCTGTTATTGATTATTCGTGCCTAAGCTGATCACAGGACGACTCCGCCGGTAGAAAGTGGTTAACTAGTTAATAGGAAAACCCTGTAGTACGTGAGTTTTCTGTTGCCTAACTGTGAAACGGAACTGAACAATGTGGCTGTGGTTAACGGCATTCGCTAGTGTGCAACTGAATCACAATAATCAATTTTAACTAATCAGTCTTCGAGTATGATGATTTTTCCGCCACATTCAGTTAACTGCTGTTTCAGTCTCTATAGATGTTACAGACAAGAGTTGGTTTTCTGTATTCTCCCTCCACCATTTGATCTAGCTGTTTACCAGACCTCAGAATCAGATAGCATTCCCAGTGTTCACTCCCCGCAGAACAGTCGCAAATTTCTCCTTCAAGTGCCCGAAGCCACCGTGCAAGCGGCCGCGTCAGCTGCTTCCATTTCATTGTCCGCCCCGTCCGGGATGCGAAGATTTATCCACACCCTTCTCCCGTCCAACAGTGATTTGAAACCGTTCGATGAACCGTTCCCACCCCATGAACATCCACAACTCAGCCTGGCCGAGGATCTAAACATGAAGCGTGTTCAGAACGCCTCGTTCTCGGTGCACCAGGCGGAAGCGAATGGCGTGGCGGCTCGATCGACTGAATATTTGCAAAATTTGGTTCAACATTTGCGTTTGAGCACCCCAGATGTCTACGTGAACGACCGGGAATTGACTTCGATTATAGCATACGCCTTGTCGTGAGTTGCCCTACACGGTACATTCGTTGATTTTTTTGTAACATCTTATTCCGCATCCTCTCTGTTGCTATTATCAGTGTGTATTACTCCATTCCATTGATTTTTTGTTAAACGTTGTAGTCAAATTTGCCAGTAAACCAACAACGGTGATATTTCTGACGCACGCCAATAATTATCTTACGCATTCCTAACTGTCTCTGATTCTTCCTCAATCATTCTATTCCCCGTTGCAGTACTCATGAGTATGAACGACATTTGGTTGACTTACATTCGGTCAAGACTGCTAGATCGTCTGCCGCTTCTTCCGTGCAAATTGGGCAGTCTGCTCTAGCTGAACCAATGTGAGTTTTGGGTTCGGTGAAAGAAACAAGGGGGGGGGGGCAGAATGAACATAAATCACCTCTGTTTGTTTGGCT